TCAAGAAAAAGCAGTAAAAAATGTCACTTATAGGTATGCCTAACAATCATATGATTTTGACACTAAACTGTAAGAGAAAGTGAAATCATACCAAAAAAAAAAAGGGGCCAAGCATGAGCAACCTTTTCATAAAGATAGAGATTCTTCAAAATTGTAATATTTTTCTTTTGTCCTGTTCAGTTGTGGTTCTTGATGAGACAGATCACTAAAATTCTTTAATTTTTGCGAGTTTATAGGCCAACTGGCATGACCCCACCCCCTGAATTCCCAGAGCTTATAAAAGCTCAAGCAGTTGCCACCTCCTCTACACGTATCAGCTCTTTCGTTTCTCATCACTCTTCACTTGAGTGTCTTCTCTCTTCAGTCAAAGACAAATAATCCATCCTAGAATTATTTGTTCCCGCATTTTTATATGTTCTTCCATTTTTCATCCCTTTTTATGGAGTAGACATTCAATAGTAGTGTTCCATCCTTTGTTCTATAACTTCCTAGACTTAATCAGTCCAAGAAATTAATGGCTTCTAGCTCGATATCTTCCCATGCCTCAGGCACTTGGACTGCCCAGGAGAATAAGAAGTTTGAGAAAGCTGTTGCCGTTTATGATACTAACACACCTGACCGTTGGGCCAAAGTTGCAAGGGCTGTTGGAGGGAAAACCCCAGAAGAGGTGAAGAGGCATTATGAAATTCTTGTGGAAGATGTCAAATACATTGAGAGTGGCCAAGTGCCCTATCCCTACTGCAGAGACTCTCGAGCTGCCTGTAACAGGGGAGGTATACAGCATATACCACCCCAGCCCACGCCATCAAAACACCACGAACACTTTAAAATCCATCATATATAATCATCAGTCATCATGGATTGGTTTCTATTTTAAGGCATTTTCTTCCATGCTTAATTTGGCAAAGTACCATCAATCCTTCTACTTTCCCTAATGCATGTTATGCATCACTATGATGGTCGGCATATGAGCACGAGCATCTACATATCTCTGAGCATGGGCGAATCATAAGACACATCTTTAATGTGTACTCAACTTGTATATTTTGCCACTCCTTAGAAAAAATGAAATGCACGAGGAGAAAATAGCTTACTGATCATAAAACCATCCTACCATACACTCTATTTCTCAAAATAAAATTAAAATTCTATGTGCATATTTGGTACATAGTGTTAGATGATAATACTAATATGAATAAGATTTTAGCTTTTAATTTTCTTCCTAACACTTCCTTAACATTGTTCCATGCAGGATGAAGAATCCATAAGTTCCACTGATGCGTCATTATACTCGTAATGATCAACTTTACTGCCGTCGTATTATATTCCAGAAGCTTAGCTAGCAACATGAATAAAAATGCAATGTCCATCCAAAACTTGGTGATAATATGCAGTAGTAATTTTAGAATTGTAGCAACACTTGTCTCTTTTTGTAAGCATATGTATGATGATCTTAATGATCAATGGAGGAACCCAATAAGTTCCTTCTCTTCTGTAATAAATCTTTTAATTAAATCAAGGATTTGTAAAAATTTTAATTTCTATACAAATATTCTAGTTCTTAATAAAATATGAAAATGGAAAAACAAAAATCTCATGGATTAAGAGAATTGGATTAATGAAAAAGTACTCATTATAAAGAATTGGTCCAAACTATGAGTCTGACTGCAAATTGAGTGCTTGTTTGGGAAACTTAAAAAGTTGCTAGAAAGCATTGTATCTTCAAATATAAACGTCAATTTGATTATCTTAGCACCAGTGCAAAGAACAAAATATGTCTTAACAAGATTTGGATCGCATACCCTGCTTTATTTCACTTGATTCTAATTTTTACAATTTTTACATTTCAGTGAGTCACATTTTGTGCGTCTTTTCATGCGTGTATATATCTGGTTTTAGAAAATTGAAATTCTATATGATATTTTGCACTAGTAAGTTGTGATTATTTTGTATTTCCATGCATGTGTGTTTACTTAACGGAATATATTCGCTAAAATACTACACCACAAGTGCACAAGTCGCGTTCAAATAATAACGCGTTCAAGTAATAAAGTGGACCTTTTGAGTTCGGGTTGTCGGTTCATCGAGGAATGTATACTTTCGATTACACAACTCTAATTAATTTAATTCTAACAATAAAAAGAAACACACACAATAAAGATTATGATTTTGGAAAATAACTAAAAATCTACAAAATAAAAAAAATATATGAAAATCTTGAGAATTTTCCGAAGCAAACGTGGTTGAAATTCATTGTTTCATTTAACAGTCGCTTAATTAATTTCTCCACAAGTCAATTAAAAAGTTACTCATTTACAATGTTAGACCTGATTTTTCAATTTTAGTTAATTACCTCTATCGAGCGAAATTAACCATAATTGATTTGTTTAACCTACTATGTCTCTATATTGATTAAAACCAAATAATTGCATTAAATATTTGTGAAAATAGCTCATTGAGTCACATAGGGCTAAGGGTACATCTCTATTCCCTACACAAATCTAGAGTTTAATTTCTACTGTTTGGTCTAAAATGCACAATCTTCTATCGAACGATGTACAAGTCACTAAACACAATCATTCATTGGCCACATAAACGAAAATGCATGAAATACAATAGAAGAAACACATAAAAATAAGCAAATCAATATTAAAGGGTAAATATTAAAATTAATCAAGGCTAGATTAAACTACAACAATAAATTCCAACACAAATAACTTATCCAATTTTATACAAATGATAAAAAGGAGAATATTTTGTACAATAAATTGCAAGTTTGAAAAAATAATTGAGAAAATACAAGGTGTAGATAAAACCTTTTTTTGAGCTTGCTCTTGATTTTCCCAAAGCTTTGTCAAATACTTAATTGAATCTCCTTGTGCTCTAAATTGTGCCCCAAAAATCACCAAAGAAAAGAAAAGAAAAAGAGAAGAAGAAGAAGAAGAAAAGAAAAGGAAAGAAAAAATGAAAAGGAAAGTGAAAGACAAAAAGAAGGAAGTTAGGGTTTTTTTCCAAGATGAAGAAGAATGGTTCCAATGGGTGTAAATGATGTTAAAAAGTGTAAAAATTGTCCTAGTCAAATTGCAAGAAGAAGCCCTGAAGAAATTAAATGTACACAAAGGTCCTTCATTTCAAACTGAGGCGCGCACCTAGTACAAAATAAGGTGTGCCTTAGTTTTTTGGTTGCTTTCAGTTGCTCAAAATTGGAGCTAAGGCACATGCCTTAGCTGCAGACGTAGGCGCACACCTTAGCCTTCTTTTTCCCTCCTTCAATTTGGTTAACAAAGAATTGCATGGTTGGTCCTTCAACTTTTGTTTTGTATATTTTAGTCCTCAAATTTTGATTTTTATTTCAATCACATCCTCTAAAAATTGCAACCTTATAGCCCCAACTTTCAGCACTTGTGCACTTTGATCCCCAACTTCACATTTTTGTGTGCTTTTCGTCCCTTTTCACTCTCTTTTGCTTTGTTCTCTTTCTTTGGGTGAATTTTAGCTTACAAAAGCAAATATTATCTAATTGAAGTAGAATTTCGTTCATTTAATCAATAAATAACATATTTAGATATTAAATAAGTGTGTAAAAACATAGTTATTAGAATATAATTTATATAACAATTTGTTTAACTATTCTGAAGAAATTGGATTATCAAACTGTCAACTTCAGGCCCCTTATGTGACTTGTCAATATTGGATTCGACAATTAGGGTTGGAATTGTATCTACACTAACTTTGATTCTGTGTTTCTTTGCAATATTGTTGGTGGCATTCTAATTTTCAACAGTTGGTCATGAAGAGAGTCTCTAAAGTAGGAAGGAGGATGTTTGTCACTGATTGAACATTGAGGAGGAATGGAAAGATGTGAAACAGCATTTGTAGGTGAAGGGGATGAGTTAGGTAATGAGGATGGAGAATTGCATGGGGATGGTGGTGTGATTGGAGGAGATAAATTGAGACACTACAAGGAGTTAGAAGTTGGGTTTCAAACAATATCAGTCGTATCATTGATTGAGGAAGAGTTAACAGGTTGAGTGTTGGAATAAATGGTTACTATTTATAATGAATTGGAATAAGTCTCCAATGGGTGCAACTCTTAAATTGTAAATTGTGCATACAAAGAGTCATGTTGTTTTGAATGAGTGTGACTATTTTAAAAATGTGTATGATGAAACATGACCCTTTTATGAAACATGACCTTTTGATAGGGTAAAATAAAATGTAGACCATAAATATGAAAAGGTGTGATTTATGTTAAAAGATGCAATCATTCGAAAAGTCACTTGAAAATCTATAAAAGGATCTCTAGTTCCGTTTTTCTTATACCAAATCAATACAAGTTATAATTGATTTCTGATTCTATCATCTCTTGAACTTCTGTTCTATTTTATTTTGCTAAAATAAACTTCTGCTTGACTTATTTTCAAAAATGAAATTTCATTAGAATATTTTAATTTGTGTCTATTCCGTTCAAGAAAAATATTATCAATACTTTGGTTCGACTGGCAAGGTTGGTATAACACACTACCTACTTTAGAAGAAGAGTTTTATATTAGGAGCTACACGTCCAATTACGTTGTTGACACTAATGCAGCAGGTGAAATATATCTTAAGGAAATTTGCTATGGCATACCTTGCTTCATTTCCGTTCTATTTTTCTTTCTTTTGATTGTAATAGTCATTAATTTGGGTATATTTTCAGATTAATTAAGAAAAGAGCCAACCTCCATCACTTAGGAAGGTTTTGATTTTCCCGTCAAAATGATTCTCAACAAAAACTTGAAATTCAAGGAAACAAGAATAAAAATCAGATTTGTTCTTTAAAGGAAATAACCATATATGACAAGTAAAGTCATCAATAAAAATCACATAATACTGGAACTTTTTAGAAGACAATGTTGGGCAAGCCCCATAAGTTACTCGCACTATCATCCAAAACCCATTCCTGTTCCTTTCCTATATAAATAAGTTTCAACATACGACTTCTTGCAGGGACAAATAAGCTTTCTTTGAAGGCGTAGGTTGCCCGGATTCTTGTTCTATACCCAGGTTCACTTATAGTGAGTGTCAACTCCTCGACTTTTATCTAAGACAACCTAGGCAAGATTCGAAGGGGATTCAACGTGTTCGCTACCACACTGGCCGACTGGTGCATTGGCCATACTATAATAAGTCCAAAAGGTATGCCTCTTCGATTAGAATGTTCCATATCTCATGACATGTGGATTGTTGCATTTTTTTTTTTAGAAAGTTCGTATAACATAACTTCAAAAGATTCATTCTTTATGAATCAAGCACCCAAAAAAAGGGTGCATTGCCTCTTTGAGTGAAGAAGCTTTTCAAGAAAAAAGTTGAAATATTATCTAATTTATTGAATGAAAGTTTACAATGATTTCCTAGTTGACGACTAGTACATATAATTTTTTTTGTCAATCATTTTGAAACATTTATAACTTTCTTATTTTCAATGTCTTTAAGAAATTGCAATTTGGATGTCCTAAATGAGCAAGCCATATTTTTTAAGAGGCTTCTTGACTTGTTGCCAATGGTATGATAAATAACGGCTCAACTTGCTGTTAAAGGATTTCGTCAAAAAGAGCGACTTGACTTTTAGACACTTATTCACTTGTAATAAGGATAACTGCTATCCGGGTTTTAATTCATTTAACAGCTTTATATGACTTGCAAAGACATTAGATGAGTTTTAAGACTACATTTTAAAATGGTGAATTAAACGAGAAAGTTTAAATGGAACAACCAAGAAGCTTCAAAGTAAAGGACAAGAACACAAAGTTTATAGACTTGTTAAATCCTTATACAGATTAAAGCAAACAGGGGAGGACCCAAGGGGGTCCCCTAGGGTCACTTGACCCTCTAGTTTTTTCAAGTTTTTATTTTATTTACTTTTTATTTTTCAGGCTCATTATGGAATATCAAATAAAATTGAAATATTATATTCTTAATATCATTTTGAAGTACTCACGACCTAATATTTCACGTCGTTGATGTTTTGAGAAATGACCAATCATAACAAATATTACGATACGTGAAAATAGGCTGTTCCAAACTAATATTTCGAGAATTTCGATAACAAACTAATTTTAAAAATTCTTCAACAAATATACGCTAGTCATATTCATAAATCTTCTATATCTTTTTGAAGCTCATTTCGAGAACTATATCATAAACACATCGAATGATCTAAATGAATATCGAAAATAGTTAAACATACGTCAAAAGTATATGCTAAAAAGAGACGTATAACTCGTCTTTTTTTAGAAAAAAATCAATTATTTTATTAATATTTATTATTTTTGAGCGACAAATTTCTCAATATAATTTACATCATTTTATTAGAAAATTTTATATGCGGTATGACGTCAAATTTTATTTTATTTTTACATAAAATTTCTTAATAAAATTTTTATAACTTCATGGGGGTTATAAATTGTTATATTATTTTTTCATCTTGAAAAAAAAAATTCAATCATTTTTAGGATTTTTTTTATTATTGTTATCTCTTCCTTTCGATCAATTAAATTTTTTTTAAATGACGTCAAAATTTTATTAAGAAATTTGTTAGATTATTTTTTAAAAAAATTAATTGATTGAGAGGAAAAGTAACAATAATAAAAAAAAAATCCTAAAAAAGATTCAATTTTTTTTGTATATAAAAAAATTTTATATGAAAAAATAATCAAGACAGTTTATAACCCATATAAAGTAATAAAAAAAATTTTGTCGCTTTTTTTTAAAAAAAATTGATTGTGATCCCCTAATGTAAAATGTTTGCGTCCGCCCCTGGAAGCAAACTCCTAAACAGTTGTATGAAAAGTTTAAAAATGTCATGATTAGAAATGGATTAACCATAAACGAGTATGATAAATGTGTTTACTCGAAAAACATTGGTGAAGAATTTGTTTTGGTTAGTCTATATATTGATGAAATGCTCATATGAGGACTAATATAGAAGTCATTAATAACTAAAAGATAATGATAACCAATAACTTTGATTTGAAAGATATGGGTGAAGCAAATTTGATTTTGGGAAAGCAAATTCTAGAATACCTGATGGGATAAACATATCTCAAACACATTAAGTACATAAAGTGATTGAGAGGTTTAAGATCAATGGTATTAATGAGTCAAATAATCCATTTCCTTCTCATGTAGTTTTTCACAAGAATACTGAAAATCGTTAAAAAAAAAAGGGGAAAAAAGACCAGTTAGAGTATTCCAGATAATTGGAAGCCTAATGTACTTATAATGAATCATACAAGGCCATATATAGCCTACTCAATAAGCAGGCTAAGTCCCCAATAACGAATATTGGAGTACTTAGAGAGTTGAGAAACTTAAAACGTACTTGAGAGTATTCATTACATTATCAAAAAATATCCTCAAGTAGTTGAAGGATGTAGTGATGCCAAGACATTAGATACGAATGAATCTAAATCTACTAGTGGCTACATATTTACTCTTGGAAGTGGTGCAATTTCTTGGAGATCTTCTAAACAAACTTGTATAGCTCAGTCCACTATGGAGTCCAAGTTTAATGCTTTATACAAAGTAGGAGAGGAGGCTTAATGGTTCAGAAATTTCTTAGAAGATATTTCAATACGGTCAAAACCTATGCGGCTATATGTATTCATCGAGATAATCAAGCAACTATATATACCTAGAGCATAAAATTTTGTGTACAAGAGTAAGTTGAGACATACGTCACTGACATAATACCATACGATAGTTACTCTCAAATGCAACAATATATATAGTGCGCATATAGGAAAACGGGTATAAAGCCCATATAATGAGTCAATTTAATAAAAATTGAACCTGACGACTCGAGATCTCAGGGACTAGGTTCGACAAAAAAAATAATAATAAAAAATAAAACTAGTTATGAATGACTAGATAAGAAGCACTTCAGAGTTTTAACTCCTTTTCATTTATATAATGTAAATAAATGTTGCCTGTCAAGTATCGATTATGATAAGATATTCTTTTAATGATGAGTATATCTTGTAAACAATACAAGTAGAGTATTGTAAGATGCTCTTCATAGAACATCACCTATGCCAGTGCAAATTTGGCCAGTTCAAATGAGGGTTTTTACTTAGGTGAATTCTCTAACATACTTGCAAAACCCAATAGAATTCAATGCAAAAGGAATGAACACAATAGAGAACAAGTATGATATGAAAAATAATATGTTTGATATATTGTCTAGGCTTACAATAATGGCCGACAGTTCAAAATGTGGTGCTTACTAATTAGCCAAGTGAGTTTGATTGATTCTTACTAAGGAAGATTAGAAATGAAAAGTACCTATCTTGATCCATTATTCTTCAGTAATACTCTTCTTCATCTTCCTTGGCTCTTGTTGGCTTATTTCATTCGTGTGGGGGATTGTCGATATAAATGGTTATTATTTATAGTAAATTGGAATAAGTCTCAAGTATGTGCAACTCTTAAATTACAAAGGATGCTTACAAAGAGTCATTTTGTTTTGAATGCGAGTGTCTAAATGTACATGATGAAAAGTTATAACCTTTTGATAGGGTATAGTCTACACCATAAATTTGAAAAGGTGTGATGAACGTTAAAAAAATCAACCATTCAAAAAGTCACTTAAAAATCTATAAATAGGACCTCTAGTTCCATTTTTCCTATATCCAAATCAATTCAAGTTATAATTTATTTCTAATTCTCTCCTCTCTTCAAAAATTATGTTCTTTTTTATTTTGCCGAAATAAAATTCTGTTTGAATTATTTTCAGAAATAAAATTTCATTAGAGCATTTTAATTTTGTCTATTCCATTCAAGAATAATATTATCAATACTTTGGTTTGATGACAAGGTTTGTATAGTACAGTATCTACTTTGAAAGAAATGTTGTATCTTGGAAGACAAATATCCAATTATCCTATTGGAACCAGTGCAAGGGACGAAATTTGTCTTAAAAGAGATTTGCTACTGTATGCCTTGCTTCATCTCCATTCTATTTTTGTTTCTTTTGATTGTACTAGCCATT